TCATCAAGTTAGCCCTGTAGGAAGGCGTTATTGACATCTAGCTGATGAAGGAGCCAATTATTTTGAGTGGCAAGAGTAAGAACAAGCCGGACAGTTGTCGATTTGATCACTGGACTGAAAGTGGAATGAAAGTCAATGCCTGACCTTTGAGTGAATCCCTTTGCAACCAATCGAGCTTTGAATCTTTCAATGGAGCCATCTGATTTGTATTTTATACGATATAACCATTTACAATCAACAATATTAAGAGAAGAATCATTAGGCACTAAATCCCAGGTGTGGTTTTTTCTTAATGCATCAAATTCTTCGGTCATTGCTTTGCTCCAGTGAGAGTGTAGTTGTGCTTGCTTATAGGTTGTAGGGGTTGTGAGGAGTGGACTGTGAGCAAGAAGGGATTTTACAATTTTTGGTTTGCTAATGTGATTTTTGGCACGTGTAGTCATAGGATGAACATTTGTGGAGGAGTCATAGGATGAACATTTGTGGAGGGTGGATTGACAGAAGGTTGTGGATTATTTGGTAAGGGTGGTGGAGCTGCTAAGGTTTCAGCTGAAGAAGGTGATACAATACCTGACGTTGAGGACGTAGAGCTGGTTGGGACAGCAAGAGCAGGAGCTGAGGGCGCCGAAACAATAGCAGGAAGTAATTCAGTGGACTGAGGTGACGCAGAGGTCTGTGAAACAGAACGGTCAATAACATTTTCCCATTTATGAATATGAAAATGTGATTTCAAATGAGAGAAAATAGTACTAAAAGGAAAATCGTTCTAAAAAAATAATACATCACGTGAGAGATATATTTTAGAAGAAGACGAGTCGTAACATTGGTGACAATAAAATTTGGTGGAAAAGCCTAAATAAACACATGGTTTTGATCGTGGTTCTAATTTGTGTTTGGTATAAGGCCGAAGCCAAGGATAACATAGTGAACCAAAGGTACGAAGAGAATCAAGATTTGGACTTTCATGAAATAATAACTGATGTGGAGATTTGCCATTTAGAACACGGGTGGGTAATTTGTTTATGAGGTATACAGTAATTTGTTTATGAGGTATACAGCTTGGGTACATGCAAAGCTCCAAAATTGAGATGGAAGTGAGGCCTGAGACAGTAGTGTTTTGGCAGTTTCAATAATATGACGATGCCGCCGTTCAACAAGTGCAACACGCTGGGGAGTATATGGAGGTGAAATAAGGTGTTCAATTCCATGAGTTTTTAGATAAGTAGACAAACTTTGAAACTCACCGCCACCATCTGTATAAAAAGATAAAATTTTGGAATTAAAACGTCTCTCAAGGAGTGGATGCAAACTTGTAAAGACACTATAAACTTCATCTTTGGTTTTGAGAGTGTGGAGCCACATATATCTTGAGAATTGGTCAACAAAAACAACATAATATTTCTTTTGGTCTATGGAGAGAATGGGTGAAGGACCCCACAAATCACTATAAATAATTTGGAGGGGATTATCACTGTGTAATAAATTTTCTGAAAATGGAATGCGATGCATTTTATTAATAGAACAAGAATTACAATGCGGAAATTGACTAGGAGAAGGAAAAGAAAAAAGAAATAGACATTGTTTTTAAAATTTGACACAGAATGCGTGTATGCGGATGCCTGAGACGACGATGCCAAAAGTTAATGGACTGAGATTTAGTTGCCAATAGGGTTTTGATATTGTTTTGAGGCCACTCATAAAGTCCATTTCTAGTCTGTCCTTGTACCAGGTGCACGCCCGTCGTCAGATCCTTCACAAGAAAATGATATGGAAATAATTCAATAGAGGTATTATTATCACGGCAAAAATGAGAAGCAGAAACAAGGTTGTGTGTGATGTGTGGAGCACAAAGAGTATTAGAAAACATAAATTTATTATTGGATGCATTAAGTGTACTGGTACCAATATGGCTAATCCGAATAGGATTACCGTTACCCATGGAAATTTCCTCCGGTCCATGATATTCTTGCGCCGTAGCTAATGTCTGAGCATCATTAGTGATGTGATGATTGGCCCCTGAATCAATTAGCCAAGGATGCTCATCTTGAGAGTGGGAGGCTGCAAAATGGGCTCTGGCTTGAAAGTGATTGTGGGATGCCGATCTGCAAACTCTAGCTGTATGACCAGGGCGATCACATAATTGACAGCGAATTGAATTGACATATTTAGGTTGTGGAGTAGATCGACGTCCACGCCCTCTGTTGGAAAAATGTGGTTGTCGCCAAGATGGGTATGGCGCTGAGCTGTTATTGGTTATCCGTCGATCATGAGGGGGAGGTGCCACAGAATTAGTACGTTGAGCAATGGCAGCTGTAATTGCAGGATTCAATTTTGGTGCGTCATGTTGAAGAAACAACTCATGATCAAGAAGTTTGTCATAAAGCTCTTAGAAGTTTGTCATAAAGCTCTTCGTAAGAGATGGGAGTGTCGCGAGAGCGAATTGCAGCCCAAAGTGAGTTGTATTCGGGGCCAAGTCCTTGTAAGATTCGAACAATAAGCTGAGAATTGGTGATTGGTTCACCAGCCGTTGCAAGTTCATCAACAATAGAACGAATGTCACAGAGATAATCAGAAATGGAGCGAGAGTCTTTGGTGAGACGTGCTAGTTTGTCTTGAAGGCTAAGGATTCTTGTTTGAGATTTGTTGGCAAAGGCAGTATGTAAAGATGTCCAGGCTGTATGGGCTGTGGGTGAAAGAGCAACGGGGGAGGCAAGTGTGGGATCAACAGATGCCAAAATGGCATTATGAATCATCTTATCTTGACGAAACCAATGGTGATACGCTGGGTTTGGTTGATGAGTAGTAGAAAGTGTTTGTAAAGGGGCTGCAGTTGAGCCATCAAGATGGCCATATAAATTGTAACCATGCATGATCATCTCTATTTGAGCTTTCCAAATACTCTATTTGAGCTTGCCAAATAGTTAATATTTGCTTCCAGTCAGTTTTGATAGGTAATTGGGACAGTGGGATTGAGATTGAATAATGGTTTGAGTATCAGCAGTGAGCAGCCATGTTTTTGAGAGGAAAAAAAAAAAAATCTGTGCTCGTTTGGAGGCGTTTACAGCTTCTGATACCATAAAGAGTTCTAGCAGATTGTAAACCTGTAAGGCTGAAATATATTGCCAAAATGAGAAATAGAAATATATATACAGCAGATGATGACTACTAGCAGCCATAAGGAACTCAACAACCTGAGATAATATCTTAACTAATATAGGGAAAAATAACAGATAATGAAAGCCTATAATAAAGGAAAGATCATAACAGAAACATTATTCTGTTTTACTTGTCAATTGTCAATTGACTTGGTTATATGAAGCTATTTAGATTAATGAAATTTAAATATTTCATTATTTACTAAATTCATCCATTGGGTTTTTTTTTTTTTTTTAAATAAAGGCAGATTCCATAGAATCATGGCTCGAATTTCATCATTGTAGAAGAAAAACAAATCCCATTTCAAAAGCAGAATTCTCCCGATTCTATCATTTTCTAACATTTTTAACATAAATTTTCCTTTACCATTAAGAAATTTCCTATTTGCTAATTAAAAGAAAAGAAAAAGCTCAGACTGTCTTAGCTCTATCAATTATTAAAATATATAAATAATAATTAAATATTGCATATCTATGAAATTTCTTTATCATATCAAGACGAATGGTTACTGGCATGGACCAATTAATGCTTCTTTCTTTCTAATTCGCTTGGTCCCTATGAGATGATGATGATGAAGACGACCATAGAGCAACTTATAGTATATGGTCCTTAGACAAATAAAAAAATAATGTTTTTATTTTTACCTTTTATAAATTAATGAATGTCTCCCGACCTATACGCAAATATACGGATTGTATTGCTCTGTTTGCTAAAATAAATTATTTTACTAGTTGTTTTCTATTTTAGTAATATTTAATTATTAATTATTTGAATAGTTTTTCGTGAAATGTTCGTAGCTAAATGTTATATGAATTAACTTTTCATAAAACGTTATCTTAACATTTAAAAGTTAATTCAAACGCGATATTATTGAATATTATAAATAACCGTGTTTAGCATTTTAAACACTCAAAATATTAAAAATTACTTAAAAGTTATTGCTCAACACAGCTTAGAATTAAGAGTTGGAGGTATAGGCAAGTCTTCTCAAAAGCAAGTGACCTATTATCCAATTATGAATCACCTATATAACATTAACAAAAAAAAAAAAAAAAAAAAAAACAACCCTTATATAAACAATAACAAAAAAAAAAAAAAAAAAAAATAGAAGGGGAATAGAGAAATTAAAAAAAAAAAAAAAAAAAACAGCATAACAGAAGGCTCTGTTTTGAGCCAGAGGCTTTAAAAAAAAAAAAAAAAAACAGCATACAGAGGCTCTGTTATCGAGCCAGAGGCTTTTGGAACGTTGTTTATAAACAAAAAGCCGAAACCCCAATTCCAAAGATCTGAAATGAAACCAGTATTTTCCCCTTTCTTGTCTTTATTGTTATCAGTAATCCATAGATTATATAAAAGCTGAAATTGGCATATCAGTCCAACTAGTTTTTTCTCTCCTCTGCTTTATCAAGTTTTGTTGCTTTCTTCTAAAAAGCCTTCTTCTTTAGGCATATATCTGATATATACAGGTGATAGAAAGTCCAAGAATTTCTATTACAGTTATAGCTTGACCAGTCTTTTTCATATTTTCTTATTGAAGGGAATACTTTTTTATCTCAAATTGGCTGAAAGAAAGCCACTTTAATTACTTCCTTTTATATCCATTGATCAAATGTGTTATAATGCACTTCTCTTCCTTTCTTTTGAAGACCAGTACTTCTAAATGTAGGAAAGCAGTTGGACCTAGACTCGGACATGGGTCATATTGATTCGGTTTATATAATGGCTCTTTATACCAAGTCAGAGCCATTATATAAACCCTAAAAAAGGAAGAGATTCCTAAAAATTGAATAACTGAAAATGAAAGGAATTGAAAAAATGGATTCTCTTGTCTCCTCTGCATCTGTACATTTTGTCCTACATTTCTTGTTCTTCTTGTGGTTCCAAAGAAGACTCGTCATACAATTAAAATTTGCCACCTTTAGGTATCCATAGATTCTCCAACTGTATCCAATTATCTCTCCCCTGCCACTGCCCCTCTTCTTCTCCACTATTTATAAGCACACCCATTGTAAGCACAAACCAAGCCCTTCAACCAACAAAACCTCCATCTTTTAAGCTTGTTAGATATGTCTTCAAGCTATCAAGCTTCAAGAAACTCGAGCTCCTCTTGGACACCAAGAGAAAACAAAATGTTTGAAAAGGCTTTAGCTTTGTATGATAAGGAAACACCTGAGCGGTGGCAAAATATAGCCAAAGCTGTTGGCGGCAAATCGCCTGAAGAAGTTAAAAGACACTATGAACGCCTTATCGAAGATGTTAAGCATATTGAGTCTGGTCATGTTGCTTTTCCTAATTATAAGTCCGGTGGAAGCCGCACCAATTACTGATAATTAAAAAGAAAGGTAATTAGTTTTTAATTAATTTGTTAATCCTCTCTTGTATATATACTTTCTCATGCATGCATTATCAACCAACTGTTTTGCCAATGGAATGCTTGGTTCAACAGTCTGTTTAACAATCAAATATCTACTCTTCCAATTCAAAACCGATTTCAATGTCACTGAATCCAGTTCGATAAATGAAGTCATTTTGTTATCAGATTTCCTATTATGATAATGAGCTAATTTTTGGTTTAATTGATTAATTCGCAGGGTCTTGAAGTATAAGAAGCTGCATTAAAGTCCAATATCCAGGCCTACTTAATATCCGTAACTTAGCAGCAAATATGTAAAAGCTAGCTAGATGCTCGCATCTGCAATTTGAACGAACTTTTCCAGTGTAGTTCTGTTATCCCCTATTGTAATCAAACCATGCATCCTTAATTTTCCTTATATGTGTAATATTTATCTTTTTATATGTATTAAGTACAATTATAATAGTAAATGCATTCTAGTTATATCTAATGACATCCCTTTCAATGAGGGGGGACTTTTCGCCCTCGTATATGCTCAACGACTGTCGTTCAGTGACCCCTTATAATCCTTTATTCTAACAAATAAAAATGTCGTTTTTCCAAACAGCAATTTAATTTTATCCCTTTGGAAAAGTAGATTCTCTTGGCAAGCATAAATTAATGACTATGCCATATCGACTATTCCTTGCCAGAAAGGTTTCCAATATTGCAAGTTCTGGGAACCTCTAAAAATTTCAGAAAAGATTTAAGATTGATGATCCGATGAGAGTTTAATTTGACATCTTCTGACTAAATTAAAAAAAAAAAAACTTTTATTTTATTGTCGTTTCTAATCGTATGAAAACATTTTCCTTTCAAAAAGGTGAATAGCAGGAAACATTTTCTTCTCTAGGAAGAAAACGACAGGCTTTTCTATGAGTAACTGTAATATATTTTTTGCTTTTGAAGATTCCTTTTACGAAGGGAAAACAAGTCGCAAAGAGTAATTAATAAAGGAAATTTCTTTTTGTGTTCCTATCAAACGACACCATGCTGAAAGTTGTGCATGTATCAAATCATTGTTGAAAGTAAAAAAATAAAAAATAAAAAAAAGGTTGTTCCGTGGGAATAATTATTCATGATTCAAATTTAAATACGAAATAATATAAATCTGACACATTATAATCTTAAACTTTTGGTTGAATTTATAAACGACAGGTCCTCCATTCTGCCAACTCTAAGAGACGACAAGGTTTCATATCACGACGCTTGACGGGCCATGTGTTGGTTACCCGGTCGTCAAACGGCCGATCATTCAGTCTCCGAATATTTTATTGCAATGGGCTTTCAGCCCGTGTTATAACAGGCCCATTCGTAATCTACTCCTTACCTAGGAAATTTCAAGTGCAGACTTGTACAATTAAATTTGTAATTACCCTTATCGTTCCAATATATTTTCTTTTTTTTTCTTCTAAATTTTAACAAAAAAACTGGTTTTTTCGCGTGTTTTCTCGGAAACCATCCATAGAAGAGAAAGAATGGTTGAGATTCGAAATTTGATAATGGAAGCTAAGACCATATGTATCTGAAACTGGCTGGTCGTTTTTCCTTAGCAAAATCCGGTTGAAAAACAGTTAAGAGCTTACTTCTTTCTTATGCTAAAGATACAAGAAGAGAGAGCAAGAAAGCTATTGCTAAGGTACAGACCCATCAGGGATTATAATCTTTAAAATGAAAATCGATCCCACTTTCTTGAAACTAAAATTTAGGCAAACCAAAATCAATAATACAATGCTGATTGTTCTTCAAATTGAAAGTGAATGTATCACAAACTCTCTCTCTTTCTGAGTATTAGGAGGAGAATCGAAACATGAATCAGACCGCTAAACTAAACCTGCAACTGCAAGGCAAGAATCTTGTTGAGTTGTCTATTATAAGCAAATGGTCGCTCTAGTGGAACCAGGTGCCCTGCCTTCTCTATGTAATGTAATGTTGCTTTGCCTTTTAATTGCCTGCATGCACTCAAGTGTCAAATTAATTAAACTTGCAAATTGAATCTATCTATCTATCTATCTTAGGTGAATTAATAACAAGCAAGTAATTAAATGAACATATCTCCACTTACTCCTTCAAGTTATAAGCATCTTCTAGATTGAAAATTTTGTCATTCTCTCCCCATAATAGATGTATATTCTGCAATAAAATGTATAAGTTCTTTCATATTAGCAATTATAAACAAATGGAAGCTAACAAAGTGTAATTCCCGTTGGTCTTAGAGGGTAAAAGTTTTTAGCGCTCCAAGCAAAGTGTGTTTTCTGTTTATTTAACTTATATTCTCAACTTTATAGGAATTACCACTTCTAATTAATACATTTTTGGTAAAGTCAAAAAGTATATTGATTGCAATTGAATTGATAATTTAATAGTGATCAAGTGTTTATTTCGTAATAACAGAATATATATATTCAATCGTAAAAGGCGTAATGATTAATCTTCAATTAGAATAAGAAAAACTCAAATTTTCTTTAGGATTCTATTGAATCATTTCTATGTTATATATCTTGATAATTTAATTCTATACAAGTACACAGGGAATAAATTTATCTCAAAAAACTAAAATTAACAACCTGTGAGTAAGAAGGGATTCTAAACTCCTTGTCCCTTGTGATTAATGCCTCTAGAAGTTCAGTTCTCTCCTTCCTATGGTTAAACATGACCTGCAAAACCATGGCCAAAAATTTTTAAACCAACTGTTCAAAAACCAAATATAATATAATTGTTAATAATCAAGAAAATATCTACCTCGAAAAAATGTTTATAAGCAAAATTAGGGAGCCATGGAAGCTTGTAGGTAGCAATGTTAAGCATTTGTTTGAAACCATTAACTGTTCGAGGAAGCAAATAGAGTATCCAAGAAGAGAAGCCAATTCTATCTAAACTATCACCAGAAATTGACTCGGTCAAAGCCATGACCGAAGAAGAAACAACCATTGATCTAACTAAATCAGGATACATTTCCGCCATCTTGAAACCAATCATTCCACCATAGCTCAAACCAACTAAACTGCATTTCTCCACACCAATCTTCCTTAACCCCTTGGCCATGCACTCCGCTTGAAACTCCGGTGATCGGTCAGGCTTATTGGTGATGGAGCTTCCAAAGAAGAGGAAATCGGGCACGTAAACTGCGTAATTTCTTGCTAAAGATAGAACTTGAAATTGCCAGGTTACAAGACCATTTAGTCCAAAACCATGAAGAAAAACCAGAGCTGGCTTGTTTGGTTTGTGGGTTCTTGGAACCCAGAAGTGGATAACTGTTCCTGGCTCAATCTCCACTTCGTGGGGTCTCATTCCGACAAGCTTTACTAAAACATGCAATATGGGCAAATATATTGTTACCAATGTGTTCACCATGATTGATTGTTTGTTCCTCTCCTAGCCTTCTGCTCTGTAACACAGACGCAAGAGAGTCTGGAACTATGGATTTGTGTCGGTGTGATTTTTTCTTTGTTGGTAGACAGAAATTTAGAAAAGAAACTTGTTACTTAATAATGGCAATTGTCTTGTTTGTACCGCCCTAATTGAGATTATTATAGCTTAAAAGTTACAAATCAAATGTCAATGTCAATAGGTGTACTTCATCTTCTAAAAATTTTGAGGATGACGTGGGAGAGACATCAAATTTGGAATTTTTTTACCATAAAAATTATTAATAATAATCAAATTAAATTTAACTTAACACGAAAGATAAATTATATTATCTGCCTATGAAAAGTAAATTAAAAGAAAATTGTGATCCCAAAATAAGAAATTAAGAACATCAATATAATTTTAAGCAATAATTTTAACTGAAAAAATTAAACTAATTTAAACACAAAACAACTTTGTTTATTTATTTATTTAACATGGGGTGACAACTTGATTACATTACAATCTTGTTTATTTTCCATTTTTTACATGGAAAAGTAAAATTCTATTTAGATGTACCAAAAAAACAAAAAGTTACAGATAGTTTTAAAATGACGTTTACACAAAATGATCCCTTGTCTTAATGATAAAAGAGTGATACTTTGAGATCTTTTGATTAAAATTACAGTTTTGTGAAATATAACATTGTACCATAGTATTTCTATTAAATAAAAAATAAAATTGCAGCATAAGAAATTAAGAAATTTGACTAACTTTATTTATTCATTTATTATTGGAAACCCTCACTCTTGTTTCTTTTCTGTAGATTGAAAAGGAAAAGTTCCATTCGGTGAGGTGTCATACTTTCCTTCACACGATGGAAAAAAAGCAAGACACCCATTTTGAAAAGTTCTAAAATGAAATTCCCCCCGCCCCCCTTGAAAAGTTCTAAAATGAAATTCCCCCCCGCCCCCCCCCCCCCCAAAAAAAAAAAAAAAAAAAAACTCTCAGTATTCTCCAAGTGTAAAAAAAAAAAAAAAAAAAAAAACTCTCAGTATTCCTCCAAGTGAGTGTTAAATGGAAACATAACATTTTATTTGACTTGCCAAACCAATAAAAATATAAATTTTTATTTAAACGAGAGTATTTCTTATCTGGACAAAGAACATCAAAATAAGAATAATTTTTTAAAAATTTTTATTTTCATTGCTTGGTTTATGAATGGAGCCATAGATCCAATCCAAACAAGTATAATCCTTACAAACCTTAGATTGTTGGTAAAACAGGCAAAATCATCAACAAATGAGATTACTAATTGCAGTGTCCTCCATTAGCCATTAAGCCTCGAACATGACCAACAAAGATTTCTTATTTGTTTCAATACATTGCCTCATTGGGAATAGACAAAGAGGAAAAAGGTTGTCGAGGATTAAACCCATAACCAACTCCACAAACAAGTCAGACACTCTGACCTTTGGGTTAATATTAACCCAATGGCAAAAAGGAAGATTTCTGCATTTGGAATTCAATATGCAAGAATAAGCATGTCATTTGAGTCCTCAGACAAGGTAACCAAGCAAAATGCAACATTAACCAACAACCTAATGCAATGCACGAGATTTCGAAAGCAAAAGTGTTGACAAGATAACAATATTCCACCAGTTAAACCATAGAATGACTTATGGTACAAGATTTCGCGTGTCACACAAAAAGCTATGGTTCAAGCTTTCCAGGTTTCAAACTTGTTATTTAAGATACGCCTTGCAGAATCTGCACACTTACTAGTCCATGGAGGATGAACTGATAGAAAAGAGAGTATTTGACTAATAGAAATAGCTAGGAAAGCCAGTGGTTTCAACTAATGCTCAATGTTTGAGTAGTTGAAGACCACATCAATGGATTTATATGGCAGATACTTCTATGGATCGTTTGAAATTGGGAAATCGTAATTGATGAAGAAAGAAGTGATCTCATCCCACATCTGAGGCTCGAAAAATTCATTTCTGGAAACTGCCTTGTAAATCATGAACTTGCGTATTCAAATTCCATTGAAAACAAAATGAATATCTACAATAACATTATTATGCACTTCAAAGCAACAGAGACCTCACATTAGACTAAACTCAGCTCTGTAATCATCTAAGCATTAAAGCAGAATAACAGAATTTCAGCATTGTTGTTATTGCATGAGACACCAAGACTTTTCTGATGAAATCACACATGACCTGACCCAAGAAATGGGGAAAAACAAAAGAAAAGGAAACTAACAGGCCCCAGAAGAAAATAGCAAAGTGATTTCCAATAAATGTATCAAAGTACCCTTCTTCTCCAAACTGAACCTAATTAAATTGTTTGCAAATTACAAGACTAACTGAACTGGATACCTGTCAATGCAATCTTCCCACGGATTATTCGTAGATGGCTTTATGTTCCTCAGAGCTTGCCACACTGCACTGTTACACTTAAAACCACTTCCAAAAGCTATTTGCCACACACGGTTCCCTCTCCGCATCCTGCCTTTTGCCTCTGTATAAGCCAACTCATACCAAATTGAGCTGGACGAAGTATTACCAAACCTATGCAAAGTCATTCTCGAAGCCTCAACATGTAAAGGCAAAAGTTGCAAATTCTTCTCAAGCTCATCAATAACAGCTCTTCCTCCAGCATGTATACAGAAATGATCAAATGCAAGCTTAAAATCCGGTATATAGGGCTTAACTTTGGCATTGAATAACTTCTTAGCAACCAAAGTTGCAAAGAACAAAAGTTGCTCACTAATTGGAAGAACCAAAGGACCTAATGTGGTAATATTAGTCTTAAGTGCACCACCAGCAATTGCCATTAGATCTTTAGACAAAGAAACCCCAGTTTTTCCTTCATCATCTTGCTCCTGATATACACACCTAAAGGCCTTATCATCCGCCCCACGATGAGTCCTAACTAGATGAACAAGCTTATACTTAGCTCTTCTCCTATCTGTAGATTTATTTGATAGCAAAACAGCAGCACCTCCAACTCTAAATAAACAATTTGGAATCAACATTGATTTCTTATTCCCAAAATACCAATTTTGTGTAATATTCTCTGTACTAACAACAACAGCATAAGAATTCCTATGAATTTGTAATAAATCTTTAGTCAGATCAATAGCTATAACACCAGCACTACAACCCATACCGCCAAGATTGAAACTCAAAATATTTCCCCTTAATTTATACTTATTAATAATCATAGCAGAAAGTGATGGCGTTGGGTTAAATAAACTGCAATTTACAACAAGAATACCAATATCTTTAGGTTTTATATTGGTATTAGCAAATAAAATATCCAATGCACCAAACATCACCTGCTCTGCCTCTTCTCTTGCTGCAGCCATTGATGGTCTTGGTGGAATATGATGCATAGCTTCAGGTACATAAGTTTCTTCACCAAGCCCTGACCTTTCTAGGATCTTCCTTTGAAATTCCAATGAGGATTCATCAAAATCACCAGTTAGCTTTGAATGCTCCATAAATTGATGGAATTTGACTTGAAGCTTTGGTGGAGGCTTGTAACAGGCATAATCAACAAGATAAACGGATCTCGGTCGGGTCATAATATAAACAGTAGACCCAACAACAACAAAAACGGAGCAGACGATGACAGTAACGAGATTGTATTGAAGTTGGAGCCAGAGTTGATGAACGTCTTCTGGGTTTAATTGAGAAGCTTCTACGATAATGACCGCCATTAGAGGAATCAAACAAAGAGTCAACAAATGACTCATTAGATAATGATAACCCAACTTCACATATTTAAGATTCACACTTTGTAGAAAATCAGGTAGTCGTCTAGACTGCTTGATCTGAACTCCACCGGCGGCGGAAGTTGATGTAGTGGATTCAGAACTCATATTGGCGGAGTCCACGATAAGGGATTTTGAGAACTGGGTTTTATCGGAGAGTTCAGGATTTGTATATATATTGTATAGCAAGAAGTTGACGTATACAAATACGATCGGCAATACAAGAAAAGAAGGCGGAGGAGTGGTGGGTGGGGTTTAGAAAAGTTTGATACAACTACAATAATCACCAACAGTATTCGATAATTAAAGAACCACCACGTAGAATATTAGATGACGATAGATTATATACCAAAAGAGAAAGATTCTTGAAGATGGGTTGGATTTGTTTGCCAGTGCCACCGCTCTCTCTCTCTCTCTCTCTCTCAAATCTTTCAAAATATGTATTTTTTTTCCCTTCCACTACGAAAAGAGTTCTTGAAAATCAAGGAAATAAAATAATACTAATATATGTTGATTGGAGTGGAAACCGAAGAAAGATTTAAAAAAAAAAAAAAAAAATGAGACAAGATCATTAATTAGAATTAGATTGGTCAAATTTCAAAGCCTAGTCCTTGCACGACTTTGAAAATGGAATGAAATGGTTGAAGAAAAGAGCAGAAAAGAGCGGAAAGGAGAAGCCACGGGCGTTGTCACTCCTATTTCCCAATTACAAAATTTGAGCATTAATTTAAATTAAATCTATTTTTAAATAATATATAATGGTTTCTTTTTAAATTATAATTTATTTTTTTTAAGAAAGCATTTCAAACTAAATAAAATATTTGATAAATGGAAGGATATCATAATTCAATTCTTACCGGCCATACATAAAAATAGATATTGAAACAATATAAATACACTAATACACTAACTTCTAAACAAACGTTAGATTTTATGAGTAGGATTTCCGTAGGAGGAATTCGTAATCATCCATTAATAACCTAAATGAGATAAATTTAATATTTTTAAATAAATTTAAAAACACACCACCATGTTAACATTTCAATTTTCAAATTGAGTTTATTTTTTGTTAACATTTTATTTTCTATATATAGAAAGAAAATTCAAATTGAAATAATTCATTAAAAAAAACTAAAATAGAAATATGGGTGCACATCATGCTCCTAAAGTTGTAATTTTTAGCTTATTGCACCTTGAAATTGATGGATGCAACTTTTAATAACAATTTTTAGCGATCATTATATCTCTAAATTGACAATTTAAATTTTCATTTTATGCTTGCATATCGATGATTTATATAGTATCTTATTTTAATTACAATTTTCTTCTTGTTTTAATTCTTTTCTTTTATAATGATACATATGATTTGAAGCTCAACGAAGTTAAGTGAACTTGCAGTCTGCACTAATTTAATTCCTTATAGAGATAATGGAGATAGAAGAAATATTTTTTTCTTATTTCATGAAAAGTTCTTTTGTATCTATTTCTATATTATATTGAGGTATTTTAGTTCACATTTTTTAACTCAATATTGTCCGGTTATAGGTCATCCATGGATTATTCAATAACATAATAATATTGTCTATTTAAAAATTTCTACTCGAAATAATATTATCTTAAAACATCAAAACAACCCGAAAAACTATTTTCAAAATTTTTTTAGTTAAAAATTTAATTGTAAAACCCAACCAATGAAATCAACGGAAAAATATTTTATTATTACTAAACCGGACACGTAAATCAGTTTTGATTTTTCAAAAAACCGAGTGAAAATCCTGTAAACCAAGTAAAATCGGGTCAAACCGTTGATTTAGACCAAATCGGTTCGAATCGAACCGAAATGGCCCATAAGCCTCTAGACCCGCCTCTCTTCTTTTTCTTTTCTTCTCTTCTTCTTCTTTTCTTCTCTTCTTTCTTCTTCCCCACGCAATCCTATCGTGCTCTCCTTCGATACTCGCGACCTCGGCGACACCATCCGGCGAGCCTCTAGGACATCCCAAAATTCGGGGAGAGTCACATCGAGAGCGATGTCCATGCTGTGCCTTTTGGCTGTGTGGAGATGTGCCCTAATTAATGATTGGCGTTGTATGTCATTTGTGACAAATGAGCACTATTACATTACCTATAATATCGCTCAGGGCGAAAAGAATGACCTGTACAATGGGCCAAGGAAGATGATGAAGCGGGTAACTAGTGCAGGGTCATATGGAACTAAATTGATTTATATACCTGCATTATTTGTTATGAATTGGTGTTTCCGCATGAGGGTGAAGGGTTATCCTAACCCTACTCATTGGAGTTTGCGCTTCACGACTAGTCCCTCAAATTATGTTTTTTTCGAGGTAAATAAGTTAGAGAAAGGAAGAAGTCCTACATGGACTACACCCCGACCTGAAAATCGAGAAATAATTCGAAAACTAGAAACTCTAAGTAGTTTGTGGAAAGCCAATGGTAAAGTATAAGTGTGAACTAAATGAATTAGAGTTAATGCTAGTTGGTTATTTTGCGAGAACACTAAATATTTAAGTACAGCAACACAGCCAGTAAGCGAACATATAATATTGGAGACATGGAGTGTGTTTTTGAATAATATTGGTGAAATAAATTATGATTTTGGATAGTGGGCTCTTTTACTGTCTAACGCGTTTGAGACAAGAGTAGCGCGTATGTCATAAGCGGATACGATCGCCGTTTAAGTTTAGAAGTCATACCCTGCGTACTTCCGCTGAAGAAGATATCTATATCATATTATAAATCTTTAAAGAGAAGGATTTTAGTGGAATGAGGATAAGTATCAATCGCATAGTGTTTCATATTCGGCTAGAGAGGATATTTTTAGTGGTAAGGGGATGTAAAATAAACCTCAATTTTGCCTTTGAAAAGAGCTTGAATGCGGTGAGTGGTTTCTCGCCCAGTAGGTTCTCCCAGTAGCGTTCTTTCTTTCCATTGTCCTTGTAAGGCTGCAAGGAAGATTTAAAATAGGCAGAGCAAAATATAGGAAAGTAGTTATAGATAGAGATATAGTAAAGTCAAAAATATGAATTTAAATTATGAAAATGATTTTAAGTATGATACGTGGCGTTGTTATACCAAGAAAACGACTAATTAAATAGTCCTTTGGACCAGTAGCCCGCACTTCTGGGTTTCCAGCCTATATATATCAATACTGTTTTCAAAAACAGTTACTGTTTAGATCGTACTTTAAAAATAAGTACTGTTTATCAAACAAGTATATACTATGGAATTTTACTAGAAATACTACGTAATTCTTACTAAGAAATACAAAGATACTGTATAATAACAAAATATTTTATTCGGAATGAACTGGTTGTTCGAATCTAATTCAAGCAATTTGATGTTTTACTTTTTCTAAATTCAGATTCGTAATTTCTGAATCAATATACAGTTTTATAAGATGTTTATTTCAAAAATCTTTCTTTTTCCGCAATTTAATGCATTAATTTTGCTGATTGGAAAAATAATTTTACAATAAAGTTAGCATCGTATGTCCCTTCTTACCACATATGTATAACATGTCAAATCGTTATAAGGTGTGGAGAAGTTTTGATGATTATTTTCTTTATTAGAATCAAATTTGTCATTTTGATAAGTATCATTTTATAATGTCGTTTAGAAATTTTTATTAGGTTTTTAGTGATCTAGAACACTGGCCATCAGTTACACCATATTCGGTAAAAGAAGATTGCATTAAATTCAAGGTAAAAGGAAATAGAGCTAGGTTAGAATTTACTGAAAAACCTAAGAGAAAATAATATTTTGATTACAATATATAATATCAATTTAAATATTTTTGAAATATTAATTGATTTAATAAATTTTGTATATGTCAGTTGTTAATGGTTTGACATGTTATTGTTTAAAGATAAACATTATTAAACATAATGTTGCTGTTTAATAAAATTCCTAACTGTAAGTATTGGTTACTATCACCCAATAAAGTATTGATTGTTTACTATATTAATGAAGCTTTTAGCTTTGCCCACTGAGCCGATTCCATATTAAACAAATTTAATCGGCGGCGTGAGAAAGATTGGTTTTAATTAATTCTTGAAAAGTCACCTAATGTCTAAAACATTTTAAAGATTACTTAGTAAATATCCGGCATTTTTATCTTTTATGTGAGATGGATCCTCCTATAAAATGTAATGAAATAGTAAGATTAAAGATGACACTGCATGCTTGATGAGACATCACCATTTCATCATATATGGTATGGCTGCATCTTCATCAAATTTTAAATTATGAATTTAGAAATCGTCTTCAATGTTGTTTCAATGAGATGATAAGCCGCACCAATGCCTTTAATGTTTTGTCCGGTAAAGCCAGCAATTTAAGATTTCTGCTATATGTTTTATCAGATATGATTATTTGACTGATGTTTTATAGTGAAGCATCGCTATGCCATTGTCATTTGTTGCAAAAACTTAATATATTATTATCACTTAAATCTATGTTCCATTCATCAGATTCGTTGAAAGGCATTATATTAAATTGACTATAGTTGTTCGGTTTATTTAAATTATACCTAAATCAGGTGCTAATTTGATTATTCCTCTATGAATGATTTATTGGATTGATGTCAGAATCAAATTGTTTTATATCTTCTGAGTTTTCGTCTTGTGATCCAGACTCAAAATCAGAATGTTCTTCTATAATGTTTATAGTTGGAGAAGCCTGAGGGGTGTCAGGAGCTACTAGTTGGGTAGTTGTTGAATGTATGTCAAGCTTATTTAATTGATGTTTTAATTGGTTTACAAATTCAAATTTACTAGACTGAGAAAGTTGATGACTTTTTATTGTTTCTTTACCTTTAACACTTTTATTTACAATTGGTTTTTCATTAATTAAATCTGTAGTACTTAATTTATTTTGTTTAATTAAAATTTTACAAAATTTAAATTTAGTTGTGTGTCCGATTTTACCACAATGATAACAAGTTATGATTTTTGATTTGTTATACGAAATTTTCTTCGATTTTTTAGTGCATTTACAAACTTTAGCTGTATGACCGTGTTTTCCACAAATATAACAATTTAAATCTTTATACGATTTTTTAATTGATTTTTCCTTATGTTTTTTAGGAGATGTAGATGTTTGTGTGTGATCATTTTTACAAATCAATTGTGATGCTAGACATGTTACTGGATTTACACTTTTATCAGATTGATTTTCTTTAATTAAGTTATACCAATCAAAGAATTTTATTTCATTTTGCCTATTTAGTTTATAGTCTAAATATTCAGATTTTAATAATCTAAATATTCAGATTTTAATTCTTCAAAAGTATGAGTTTTTAGAATCTGCTTCATTTTAATTAAGTTTTTTATTTTAGATACTTCATTTAATAAATCTTTTTCAATATCTTTTTTAGTTAAAATATTGAGGTTTTTAGCAACTGAAGAAACATTTACTGTAGAGATCTTAAAATCATTTTTATCAGGAACAATTACTGTAGAAACTGTAGAAATCAATTTTTGCATCAATAGGCTTTATAATCATCCCAAATAAACGGAGGACTAAATTGATTTATTATAGCATATGTGTGATTGTGTGGGGTGAGAGGGTTATCTAACCCTACTCATTGAGTTTGGCGCTCACCCCTGTCTCCTATTTTTTTTTTCAGGTAATAAGAAGAAAGGAGAGTCCTATGGACCCGACTAAATCGAAATATCGAAACTAGAAACTTGTTAATAGTTGTGTTAACCATGTAAAGTTAAGGACTGTAGATTATGGAGTTCTGCAGTTGTATTCTAAATGGATTGTAATTAGATAATAAGAGCACATATATTAATATTATGGATTGTGTTTTTGATATATTGGTGAAATAAATTATTGGGTGTGAAGCCACATTTATGAATAGAATATGAGTTTAACTAATATAGACTTACTACGGGCTTCGGAGGCTTTAAGCCTACCCAGATTCTAGTGCCGGTCCGGCCCGCAGATGGGTCGTGACAATAACATAATAGATGTATTTTTAATATAATGGAGTATTTATAATATGAAATTATATTTTTGTCATTCTTATTGTTTAAAAAAAATTAATTTAGAAACACATCAAAACATAGCATAATATTGAAAATATGTATAATTTGATAATAGACTCGGAAAATTTCGAATCTTCATTTCCAATATTTAAAAAAATAATAATTTTGGAGATAAAATTATCTTTTTATTCGTTTCTCTCTATTTTGATTCCAATTTGAGAAGAAACTATAAAGTTTTTTAATTTTAATACAGCATACATGCTTTATTTTTCTTACACTTTGATTTCATTTTCCCATTTTCGAAACACGGTGGTATGGAATGGGAAGAGAAATAGATATAATCTAATATATTAAGCAATTATGAAGCTATGGCACAGTCATTTTCATAACAGAAATGGATATGGATGGAACCATTTCTTCACAATTGTATTCACAGACATGCTGCAAGCCTGCAACAGAATAAAAGATTATCATGCATACCTTTGACTTGACCACGTGCATATTCATTTCACCAAAATAATTATATTTATAAAATAAAATACGGAGCTTTCAAATATCATAATTTTCACTAAATATCTAATTTCATAAAATATTTTGTAATATACACTTTTTTTTTTGCAATTACTTTTTGCAATTTTAGTATCTATATAAATATACAAAAATTGAATCATATTTGATGATGTCATAATATTAAGAAATTTAATTATTTATGTGACATTTTGTTATTTCTTAAATCTTTCATTATTTTTTATTTGATTATCTAATTGAAGAAACTAGAGTATACAAATCTTCATTTATAATCACAAAATGAATTTATTTCATTAGTAGAATACTCTATTTTTTTCATTAATAATTCAAATAATATTAATAAAAAATTTTTAAATTTTTTTCAATAATTAATAATCCACAAAAAATTGATATTACATTTTGTTACTTCTTAAATTTTTTATCATTTTTTAATTACTTATCTCCTAATTTTAAGAAATTCTCATTCTAAAATTATAAAACTCTTCTAACAATTAATATTCGATAACAACCGATTAACAAGTATATTGCATTAATAAATATTATACGAGTAATTATTTATTATAGAAAATATTACTCCTTTCTCTCTAATTTTCTAACCCTAATTTTGTTTTGTTAAAAAATCAGTCTCTAAGAAGAGTGTATTGGATTGAGATTCTATTGGATTTCAAAAATCCAATAATATTCAATTTAGATTTGTTTGGAGTCTATTAAAACCTTGTAGTATTTCAATTCACACTCTTATAAAATCCATAAAAAGCAGATGGTATTCAATTGTAACTTTATAAAAGTCCATACAAATTTGATGGTATTCAAAAAATTAATGATTTGAAAGGATTTTATAAAATTATTAATTTCATTGAATTTTATAGTGTTAAGTATAAATAGAAAAGTTATTCACAAATCCGAACTCAACCTAAAGATTTCAACTCTCACCCAATCGACTCTGTCTCTACGAACGCTCTTTTTCAATCAAGCTTTAAAAAAAATCGCCCATAAAAAAACATCAAGATGCGTAGCTGCAAACTGGTATGTAACTTGACATTTTTTTCTTCTTTATATATGTCGTTTGTCTAATTATGTTCTTTCTTTCTATTTTTGGGATTGAGGTAATTTTGATTTTGCTGTGAATGGTTGAAATTATTCTAGTTTAGGATAATTTAAACATTGTCAAGCAATAAGAATTTTTCTTACTTGACTGTACTCAATACTAAAAATCCCTCGGCAGTGGACGCTCAAAAGAAGATCATTGCTTAATCTATTCCAATTAATTGATCTCTTCAATATACTTTATACCATCCTTGATAAACTGTCAATCATGAAAGAGAGGAGGTGTTATGCAACGATAATAAATTAAATAAAAAAGACAATGTCCATTTAAAACCATGATTGCTTATTATATTAGGTGCTATGTCATCGTCAGATGTCTCAAGCAGCAACAACAATAATTTTGTTTGCTTGCATTGTAACTACATGTTTTTTTCAAAAAAAAAAAATTATGTAATTAAAAAAAATACTTCAATTCTATTAAACTCAACAATTCCTTTTAAATTCTAACACAATCACAATCCAACACACCCCTTAAGTATAAGGAGCTGGTATCGTGGACCACCTAATCCGGCTTGAAGTTTAGACTTTAATCGCTCCTCTCTGCAAGTGCATTTAGTGAGAATTAAACTCAAGAGTTCTTCTCATATGTCCAATCTGTATTGTCAAGTGAGTTACAAAACATAAATAGTTTTAACATGTTTTTAATATAATTGATAAAAAGATAAACGTAAAATGAGATATATTTCAACTAATAAAAACTATGTTAAGTAGAAAGTTGACATCTCCAAAGCGGCAAAATAGATGTTGACAGCAAATTTGATCCTCCATGTTTCCTGCTCAATTGTCTTCTCTTTCCCCCCTCTTTTTTTTTTTTTTTTTTTTTTCTTTTTTTTTATTTTTTTTTTTTAACGTTTTCAAAACGAATGGAGGAATTCTGAAGCCCCCCCTCAGATTTGATATTTAACTACAATCTTTCCATATAAATATAAAAAAACTAGACCTTATTTTCCGTGGGGTGGGTGGAAGCTCACTGCGTATATTTTAGGGTAGGCTTCGGTTCAAATCCAATTTAATGAAGTATATGTTTTATAAATGAATTTGGAATGGAATACAATAGTGAAGCATTCCTATTGAATACCAATAAGAGTTAAAAACTACAACGATTTTACGAATAACCAACTATCCTTATATATATTTAAATAGGTTTGTAAGAATAACTCCTCCTTTTTTTTTTTTTTTTTTTTTAACGTTTTCAAACGATGGAGTGAATTGCTGAAAGCCCCCTCAGATTTGATTTAACTACAAATCTCTTCATATATAAATATAAAACTTCCTTAGTTTCGTGGGGTGGTGGAAGATCACTGTATTTTAGGGTATTGGCTTCGGTTCAATCCATTTAATGAAAGTATAAATATTTATAAATGAATTTGGAATGGATACAATTAGTGAAATTACTATGAATACCAATAGAGTTAAAATACACGATTTTAGATTACCAACTATCTATTATATTAAATAGGTTTGGTAATGAATACTCTCCTATCTATTTACCAGTAAAAATGAATCTTATAAAAATTTGGGTTTGGATAATTAGAAATTACAGATATCCAAAGTCTAAAACTCGTTTACAGAATACTTTAAATGAATTTAGGAAGATATATATTATAAAATTTTAAATAAATTCGGGTATAACTACTTAAATGAGTATTTAAATAGATAATAAAATTCAAATAGATACACTTAAATTTAAAATTCACAAATACTGAAAATAAAATTTATACTTCCCTCCCTGCTCCCTCAATCGATCTTCCTCTTCAATTTGGGATTGTGATTGAACGACGGATTCATTTATGTATTTGACTATTTGATGGTTTTGAAGGTCGAAGATGTTTTTAACCATTGATATTAATAAAAAAATTTAATGTGTATTTTTTTTACTTTCGTGTATCGACCGCATCTAATTGGCATAAAATTGAAATCTGGGCAAATTGAATATGCGGAGTGCAATTGAAGGCAATTTTTTTTTCCCTTTCTTTCCATTTTCATTTTAAATTTCTAAATGAAGTATAAAATTTTTTGACACATTATTAAAATAAAAGAATTTCATTTTCGAAAGGGAATAAAATGCATGGAATCTATTTTTCACAAAAACTATAATAAAGTGCAGAAATTTTGTTAAACCAGATGGACAGAGCCTATTTACTGGGCCTTGGGCCTATTAAATGCTACAAATTATTTGATTCAGACCAGATGGACCAAATCGGACCAACACACAGCGTCACCGCCCATTCCCTCTCTTTTGCTCAGTAAGGCGTCGATCTCTCTCTCTTACCGTCAAGGACCACCGCTAATCCTGTTGAAAGAAGCGATTTCCGGCAAGTTCTTCCTATAAGGTAGGCTAGAAACTCCTTTTTACTTCATTTAAATTAACTTTCTTCAAGTAATTTTTAGCCTTTGATATAGAATTTTACAGAAATTGGATTATGGGCTTTGAGTTGAAATAATTTGGGAATTTCAAATTCTAGCATGATTTTGTGAAATTGAGTTGAGATTAAGCTTCCTTACTGAAATTGGAACATTTTGACTATAAGTTTGCTATATTTGGTGAAGTTGGCTGCGGCAAGTCCGGTGAGCGGAGTTATCAAGATGTTAAATTGATTAATACGTTGAATGTCTATTGATTAATAATCAATATTGGGTGTTTCTTGATTGACAAGTCGCCCATAGGATTTTCATTTTACTTTCCGTTTGTTATTTAGTATTTTTGATTTGGCCCCAAAAAAACCAGTCGGTTCTTTTTGTGATTGCAACAGAACATATCAACACACAGTTTTGAAGCTCTTCCATTGCTGTGATCAAAGGTATGTATCTTCATCATTTTTTACTGTTAGCCTCAAAATCACATACCGACCATCTATACAAGCTTGAGGGTTTTGATTATATATTATCTTGTGTTTCTTCACAGTATAATCTTCAATTCATTATTTTCTTTATCCATGGGTTGAAATTTCAAGATAGGATTTCAAATTTCTAAACAACTAAACAAAAAATGAAAATTTTTATGTTTTTTTGGCTCATCAAATTCGTTGGGTTAATTCAATTTTTCATGAATACAAGCTATAGGGTTATGATTTCGGATTATTTTGTGCCTCTTCACTGTATAATTTTCAACTCATGATTTTCTTTATCTTTTGCTTGAAAATGATGATTTTTGGTTCATCAATTTATTGGGTTTGTTCAATTTTCCATGAATTATTTATGAGATTTAACATCATTAATGCTATTGGTTCCAGAATAAAAATAGTAGAAAAAAAAATTACTTGGATTTATCTTTTCTTCTCTCACATAGATGCCATTTTTGTATGCTAGTAAGAAAAGCAATTAATTAAAGCTATTTTGTTCCAACAGCTTCCCATGAATTTCATGAGATACAAGCATACATATCTAGTAGTAGAATGAAGCAGTTGGCGGCATCTTCGTGCTGTTAGCTTACTGTATCAAACAATTATATAACAGTAACATAAGTAAGATTCTGTCATACAATATAGAATTATAGATGCTGTTGAGGTAAAACAAATGACGAACGGACAATTTCCCTGAACATGACACTTCTATGCGTACCATTTCACATGTGCAATGTTCATTAGCTGGGTATCAATTTGTTACTCAATTTAGGTTCAACTGATGCAAACTATGGTTTGCTATGTTTCTTTGATTTTTTTTTTTTTTTCTCTCCTTGTACAGCATTTTGTTGGACTAGACTAGACTTTAATCATACAGTTCCAAGCAATTGTAATGACTGAATATATCTATTAAGAGCAGCTTAATGTATAAATCTATTGTCAGTAGGCTCCTTAATATGGTGAATTTTTTCTAGTAATAATTTTCTTGTTGCAAAAAAATGTTGTGGTTAGTTTGGCATTTGTTGGCTTTAAATGCTATTGATGAAAATAATTTTATTTATTTCCATGACAGAGTCATGAAATTTCAAATAATTCAAAGTTACAAAGAATTTGCTCAATAATCATATCAGTTATGATACCTATCTTATTTAGATTAGGAACTCATGATGCTATGATTCGAAGCATTTTGTGGGTAGGGGAGAACTGGATGTCCAATAGAATGTTTGTTCTTGAATAAAATATATTGTTTTGACTTTGTTTGTAGTCCTGGATTGGTTTCTTTATGATGCATTTTACAAGGATTCTTCTACATGGTTTTGAACACATACTCCCGGTCTAACAGCATATTGTCCCATCTCCTAGCTCAAAGTAAGAGAAGTTTGGAATGAAACTTCCTTCCTATTCCTATGGGTTGAATGAGCTCTTGCTTCTCATGACATTTTAAATAGTGAGAGGAATATTTTCAATTCCCCACCCAACCCCCCTCTCTCTCCTCCCTTCTTTCTTCTTTCAATAATGCTATGTTGAAAATTAAGTCATTCGTACTAGGAATTAACAGAGATGCAGACTGAGAATAGCCAGCAGCAAAAACAGCCACCATCAGCTGTCACTTCATGCCGAAAGAAGAAAAATGAGGAAGCTACTTTTATGGAAGATTTGAAGGAGCATATTGATGAGTTCATTCATGCATCAATGGATGAGCACAAGACTTGCTTTAAGAAAACCATGCAAAAGGTTAAATTCCGTCATAGAAATTCAATTCTATTTGCACCTTGCATGAATGCTTACATTCCTTAATCAAGTAATTTGGTTATTAGTGGCTGACTTGAAGTCTTGGGTTCAATTTCAGATGTTTGGAATGTCAAAGATTGTTGCAGAGAGGAGTGCTGATGCTCAACAAGTCGAAAGTTCTCTGCCCCTCCGCACTATGGTGTCTGACTAGAATAATCTTCCCTTTCTTGTAGGTAACTCAACTTCTAGTTTTTGAACGTTATGGTTTTGGTTTAACATGTCGTTAAACAATAAGCAAGTTGGTTGAATTATTTCTCCGACTAGATTTCAGGTGAATGGACCTTATAATTATGCAGGCATGATTTTTTTTTTTTTTTTTTCCTGTAAAAAGATTTTCATTGAATCTGATCATGAAGGATTGAAAACATTCAGTTGATAGAGGAAAAGGTTTATTGCAGTTTGGAGTTCATGCCAAATTATGATTGGTACTTCATGGTCATATTGATAAGTGTGAAGTGCGTCCTATAACATCAAGAGATTAAATATCATCTATCCTATTCTCAGCTAAAAGCCCAAATAAACTTGCTAATACACGATATACTTGATTGAAAAAAGTGAAATACTTATTCCAAAACTTATACTGTTTGAGACAGATGGGAGTTCAACAACATTTTTCTTCCTTTAAATTTTTGAAATATTTTTTCTTTTTGAATTTTTCTAACAATTTATTTAATTAATAGTATTTAGAAAAAATAAAATCATATTTATTTGATTGTAGAGTTACTGAAGGTTATTTCTCATATGAGTATAAGCATTTTAACAGTTTAAAATTTATTATTATCTTTTCAAATTTGCATTAATTTTTCTAATGAAAAAAAAAAAAGGAAAACAATAATCCTGAAACCGAATTTCTGTTATTCTTTTAGGAAAATAATGCGTGTATAGCTAGAACCATAGTTATTAAACCAGTCCAACCTGATATCTTAAAACTGGGCCGATTTTGGTTTTAAACCATTCAAAGAAGAGAATTGGATTGAGCTAGTTGATTCGTGATTGAAAAATCGGATGATCTACACAAACTCGATTGATTTAGACCGATTTTTGATATTTGAATTATCTTTTATTATATTATGATTATTTAAAATTATATTATTTAATATTTAATTAATATATATTATTAATATTTTATGATCCACTTATTAAACCAATTATCCATCCACCCAGTTTTTTAATTGGGTCTATGTTTAGGTCGGATTGAATAACATTGCTGGAACCATGTCAAAATGGTAACTTGAACCATTGATTCATTGAAATAGTGCTGAAACCAGTTGGAATTGAAACCGATAGTTCAAGAGTCGGTTATTGTCAAATTTAACATTTTAAAAGTTTTGGACCGTCGATTCATTCAACTGACTGGTGATGAGGAAAGACCAAAACGTGCATTTAGGGTTAAGGAATACTTCTATCTCACTAGAAAATCGAATCGAATTGACTTATTTTGATTTGGTTCGGTTTAGAAAATTGGTCACTGTTCGATTTGAACTATGATAACCATTCGGTTTGGTCTTATACATAGCAAATCGAATTTATTTTTACTCCCAAACTAGTTGATTTAATTTGGAATATGCAAATCATACTTGAACCAGTCTAGTCGATACTAAATCAATTGCTATAGCAGTTGGTGCGGTATTGGTTATCAATTATCATGAAAATATATTGGGTCAGATCAAACTCAATTAATTTAGTTCGGTCTGGTTTTTTTAAACCGCTCACCCCTAGGCACGTGCATTTCTTGTACAATGTGAGGAAGTTGTTGAACCAACCAACCTAACAACCGAATTCTAAAATTTTATTTTAATCCCAATATGGCAAATCCCCCTACCATTAACTTTTAAATATATTTCACAAACCATTAAATTATCAAATTAATGCCCTAAATTGACGGTATTGGCATTTCCAATAATTTTGTTTATCAATTTTGTGCAATTTCTTTCTTTTTTTTTTTTCAACTCATTTTCAATACATTTTTAAATAATAACAAAGATCTAGATTTTTTAATACATATAGTTCCTTATTTTGTTTAGCACCCTTTTACTTGTGAAAAATTTTATGGTATTGCTAATTTGGTCTGTTAAACACTTTATGTTATAATCAAATAACTTCAATTTGCGAAAATTTTCTGTCGCATGCTCTAAATTATAATTTAAATCAAATTAAAAATTTACTGAATAGTTAAAAATGTGAAATTATTATATTAATTACACATCATATCAATATTTTGTATAAACCGTTAAATTTTTTAAAAATAATTATTATTATTATAAAGAGATATATAATATTATTAAAATTTAAAATTTTAAGAGATACTTGTAAATTCCTCGCGACAAAAGGTTGGATTTATGCATGTGGTTTAATGGGAAATTTATTATTTAGTCCCTCAGGTTTTACAAAATTAACCAACTAATCCAAAGTTTTGCCAAAATATCTAGTTAGTCCCTCAGGTTTAACTCCGTCTAATTTTAATGGGAAATTTATAATTTAGTCCCTCAGGTTTTACAAAATTAACCAACTAATCCAAAAAGTTTTGCCAAAATACTCTAGTTAGTCCCTCCAGGTTTACTCCCGTCTAAATTAAAAGGTCCTTCCGTCCGAAAAGTTGATTTTTTTTCAAGTTAAATTATAGATAAAAGATGCTAAAAAACACCCTCCCCTAAGCTGACCGTGGACCATAAGGGGAAAAATTATCAATCTAGTCCCCTCAGGTTTTACATAAATTTATCTAACTAATCCGCAAGTTTTTTGGCGCAAATATCTAAAACTAGTCCCTCAAGGTTTAAAACTCCCGTCTAATTTGAAAGGTCCCTTCCCGTCCGACAAAAGTTAGTTTTTTTCCATTAATTGCAGACTAATAAGAATAAAACAAACCTCTCTCTAGCTGACGGGACCAGTATGAAGTCGATAAGGGAGGGAATGTAATAAATTAAAAGCTAAATAAATAATTTTTCCTATAATCTTTTATGCCACATTAGAATTGTAATAGACTAAGCCTTAAATTACACGAGTAGGAAATATTAGCTTCGCTAAAAATTTTAAAAAATGAAAAATTGAAGAGTTCAAATAAAGTCGAGTGGAAAGACATAATCATTTTTCTTTCTCTCTTAAATGTACGGTTTAGTTTTAGATTATGAATATTTGCAAATCGGAAAAAACATTAAATCATAATTAGTCTCTAAAATATTACTAATCATTAATTCTAATAATATTCGTCAACATTTAGAATTTCATGTCCTTTTAAAAAAATTATTACAATTTGATAAAATTATAATAAATTATTGAATAATTTTGACAATATTACTCTTAATTTATATTAATCTTAAGAAATCAATTAAATTGAAAGGTAAAATTATTAATCATAACACAAAGGGTAAATATGAAAAAAATATTTATTACTCCCTTAAAACCAATATAACAAGTATTTTAGACCAAATTAGATAAATATTTTAGAACAAACTATTTTCTCAAATCTGACAAGTATTATGGAACAAAGACAGTATTAAAAAAAGGATAAAAAAATCAATTTGATGTTCTAATTAAATATTATTAAATTTAACTGAATCATGAAAGTAAATACCTCTTCAAAAAAGTAAATACCTCATTTTTCTTTTTACCCCAACTTATCATCATAGTTTCTTTTTTAGACAAAAAGTAATAAACATAATTTTCTATTTTATTCATATTTAATATGCAAATTTTATCAAGAAACATTACTATTATCATTGATAAATTGATAAAATCTAAAAAAAAAAACAAAGTATTCCATCTATTCATAAATACTTTTAATATTTTTATGGTAATTAAGTAAGTAAATTTATTCTTATAAATTATAACAAAATATTAATTAATTTTATTACGTAACCTTAAGTAAGATGTTATATGATTTTGAAAAATTATAAAAATAATTATTAAATTTAATATAAATAAGGGTAAAATTGAAAAAAAAATTAATTACTCATTAATATTCTAAAAAAAAAGATATTTGCAGAGAAAACACAGGCTCTAAAACAATAGTTATTTATAGATAAAAAAGTAATTATTATTGTCACCTATATTATTATAATTTCACAACTTTGAATATGAATATTAATATTTAATGTAAGGTTATCTGTGTTTAATGCAAGGTTATCTGCGCAAAAGATAAACTAGGTATATCATTATAGCATGGAAGGAACAAAAGGGAAACAAACTAGGTATATCATTATCGCTTCATATTGGTCCACGTCAGCTAGGGAGAGGTGTTATAGTCTTTTAGTCTTCAATTAACGGAAAAAAACTAACTTTTCGGACGGAAGGACCTTTCAATTAGACATTTTATCAATTTAAATTCAAATATATTAATGTGATATATGACAGGCAAAATTAAGCCCCACAAAATATGACAGTAAGTCAGTAACTCTTAAATATGGCTCAACTGTCCGTCCTATAAATTCTTCTCGTGTTTTCTACTATCAGACAATCTTAAAAATATGGGTCAACTTTGACATTCATTGATGAAAATCCATACAAGGAATATTAATTGCAAAATTGTCAGGAGTATTAAAAGTTTGACTGATTTTAATACCCATTTCCAAAAAAAAAAAAAATAATAATAATAATATTGTAAAACTTGAGGGATTAAATAATAAATTACCCGTGGTTTAATTTTAGAATTGCTTCCTAGTTTGCAACTTGGGCAAGACTTGTGTATTATATTATACGACGACGAATAACGACAAAGCATAAATATATAAAGATTTTTGAGCTTAGTGAGGTAATAATTATGGTCATTAAGTTATGCCATATTTGACGCTGAAAAGGGTAAGTGCCCCACGTTTGGGGGGCAAGTCAGACGCGTTAACCTTAAAGACTGGGTTATGACCCTACGAGATTTGTTGAAGCAATGTGTCTTTTTCTCTATTGGATTGGAAAGCAACCAATAATAATTGGGTTTTAGTCTTAATTCTTTCTATTCAAATTCTGGATTTTTTTATAACTAAAATTTATGATATGCATGGAGTTTAGCCAAAGTAATAAGTTCTAGAAGTTTCTTTTCTTTGTTCCATCTTTTGGGAGGTCAATGATTAAGAGGAACTATAAAGTGAGAGATATACCTCTTCCCATTTTCTAATAACTTGTGGCGACAAAACCACTAAATAAAAAGGAAATTAATTTTTTTTATTAGGTGTTTGTATTTACTAAAATTAAACAATTGTAATTGGTATTAATAAGAATATAATTATATTTTCATTAAAAAAAGATATTAATGATAATGAGGGATAGTATTTTTAAATTAAAATAAATTATGAATTCAATATATGAGTATTTAACATAATTGAAATAAATTTAAAAATTGAAAATTCATTTGCTTTTTGTTATTAAAATGCTTTTGGTATAATAATTTTCAAAAGTTAGGAGGAAGAATAGTTTTGTCGTAAAGTTTTGGATTGTTTAAGTTTATAGAATTCATTTGAAAATTTTTCATTTTTTCGTAGAATTTAATTTTAGTTATATTTAAATCCATAGAATTCAACTCATAAATTTTTTTTCCGTACCAAACACAAATTTGAAATTTGTGAAATAAGGGTTAACTATAAATTTCTTTTGGACCCTTTTTGACAATAAAAGTGATAATGAGTGCTTATAGGTTCAAGCCTAAAAACGAGAAGAACGACCTGACGTTCATATAGTGTATAATATTGGAACATTCATTTATACAATATTTATTTTTCTTCTATTCTTAATTAAAAAGGAGGAATTTTAATATTTTTCGCATTCAAAAAATATAATCATTAATCAATAACGACATTCATTTTCAAGTTCCCATATGCAATACATGTATATAAAGAGAAAATTAAAGGAAAAAAAAAAAAAGAAAAAGCAAACCCACACTAATCAACAAAAGAAAATACAAGATTATTAATTAATTTATGGAATGTTACATACAGTAATCTTAGAGAAAATATTACAGACTTACACAAAGAGAACTTATGCAAGAATCACAAGATTTGATGTGCCTTGCTTTTTTTTTTTTTTTTTTCACAAGATTTGATGTTGCCTTTGCTTTTTTTTTTTTTTTAATTAATACACTAATATTAATATTTGCTAATTAATTATACATTTTTTTTTTTTTTTTTTAATTAATACACTAATATTATATATGTGCTAAATTAATTATACATAGCATCACTAGAATAAGAACAACTAGTTGACAACTGCTAGAACAGAAAAAGATCCCATTTCGCGATTCTTGAAATAGGGTTTACTACTACTAGTTATACTATATAATATTACTAACAATGCAACAAGAGGAAATTGATAATAGAGATAGAGAATATGGTTCTTCTTGATCATGCTTCAGTTTCTTGTACTTCATTATAGCTTCAGATTTTTCATCCTGCATTAGAAAATCAAATTTCAGATAGCTCTCATAATAGATATGTATCCCACAAACCCAAAACCAGATTGGTCTTATATTCGAAAAATGGGCAGGGTAGTAGATACTTGCAGAAAATTTTAAAAATTAAATAAATTTGAATCGTTTTCATGATAATAATTATGTATAATTGGGTTGATAGCTACATTACTATATATATAAAAAATAAGTCAAAATCATTATTTGTGTAAGCCACGTGAAAAGTGCTGGTGGGGCATAAAATTTAGATTTTGCATCGTATATTTTCTAGTGTACACGTAATTTTGGACCATTTAAATTGAATTTTCATGAGGATATTGGATATACTCTTTTTGATTAAGGCTCCAAATTATTCTCAGTATCCCATTTGGCTTTTAGGATGCTTATTACTAGTTGATGAGACTTGAGCCTATAGTAGTCAAAATGCAAAAAATTCCATCTTTTGAAGTGTTCTCTAGAAGTTGAAAAGCCGGGGAAAAAAAAAAAAGAAGCTTAAAGGATTTGCAGAGAAGGAGAATCCAATTAAAGTTAAAGACTTTACTGAGACCATGAAAGCCCCTTTTCTTTTCTTATTGCTGTTCTTATTATAAAGATTCATTTACCCTTTGATTCTGGCATGACTTTGGCTGCATATTTTTGACTTATTTTATGGACAAAAACATCGGAAAAAGTAAGGTTTGTTGGTATTATAACTGATGTTTTTTAAAGTATATATAAACATCGTTCAACCAACTAGCTATTTTGCTTGCTCGAGCTACTGGTTCTATGCCTGGTTCGATGGAATGGGCTATGAACCCTCCATATGTTGTTCAACATATTTATATATTCTTTCAAAAAGAAAGACTGTTAAATTCATAAAATACAAAAGATAAGATAATACTGTTTATATACCTCTGGTCCCTGTGGTCCTGTAATTAGGGAAGGGGACTTGGCCAGACTCGATATACTTGACATCCCGCACGAGAAGCTCATAGTGCCTCTTAACTTCATCGGCAGTTTTGCCGCCAACAGCCCTGGCGACATTGGCCCAACGGTCTGGTGTGTCTTTGTCGTATACAGCCAAAGCCCTTTCAAAGGCTTTGTTCTGCTGTGCAGTCCATGAGGCAGACCCACGAGAGGACATTGAGCTTGACGCCATTTTTTAGTAGTTAATTGTTATTTCTAACAGAAAGACTGAAAAAGAAAGTGTTGTATAGGTAGTCAAAAGAGAGATGGATGGATATATTGTATGTGCAAAAGAGGTGGCATGCCTTGCTCTTTTATAGGCAGAGGTTTTGAGTTGGGAGAGACTCTGTGGTAGGCCCATTTCGAAAATAAATCTTGGAAAATAGAATTTCAATGATTTGTCTCCTTAAGAACCACAAAAATAAATAAAGTGAAGTTGTAAACCTAAATTATGATTCCTTTTAACACTTTTATCTTTTCCTTCGAAGTAGTTTCTTTTTATTTTAAATCGTCCGAGAAAAAAACTAAATTATAATCAAATTAATTATGAGATCCCAACTTATAATTCCGTTAATATTTTAATCCAATTATAAAACTGAACACACTTCATTTGTTTTATATAAGAAAATTTTAAAGAGAAAAGTTATGAAAATTTAAATTTCTAATCTCACGAGACATTTGTTCAACTACTAACCCAATCAATATTAAAATAGTTAAAATTCTCCTTTTCAGTATTCTAATACAACATGTACAATATCTGTTTATTCTCTATGTATACGTACACTCATACACCAAATCAATAACTAATTGCCATTTAAGGAAAATTATTATAATTTGGAACCATTTTATCTTTCTTTCCTATTTGAACTAAAATGATTTTATTGGATTACTTTGGTATATGGATAAGATTATACACTAGAAATACACCCCATATACCTAAGTTATTTCCATATATAAAATAGTTAGATAAATTTTAAGTATGTGAATTTCCTTAACAAGGGAAATAAATGATTATAAAAATAAAGGATTAAGTATGTGAATTTCCTTAAAATAGTTATAAGATCAACAGAAACCAAACCAAAATGGTTCATTGCTATTTGGAAAATATATATATATTTTTTTATTAATTTGTGTTTTTTTTAGTGAATTACTAATAATATCCTCGTTTGTATTAAAGAATTTTATAGCTTGCCCACCATATATAACAGGTATACATAAGTCATTCACACATACATAGATATGGGAAGGTGAAAGCACCTCAAAAGTGCAAAATATCAACGTTTGAATATTATTTACCTTCACTTTAACATGGCTAATTACCTTCAAATCTTTAGTTAAGTATAAATTCTGGCAATCTCCAACTAGACCGATCTGAGTATATTGGCATCTATGCATGTCTACCACATTGGTGAATCTGATAATCTATTTGCTACTTTTATTTATAATTTTTTTTAAAAAAAAAAGTCCAAATGTGTTATAAATTTCGATCAATTGAATAAATGTCTGTTCGTAAAAAATGAAATGCTATATCGTCGAACGCTATAAAAAATAACATTTAGCGTTTTAATCGATCAAAATTCTAAAAGCTATTCAAAAAATTGTTACCGAACAAAGCTTAAACAAAATGTTCAAATATAATATCTCAAATTTAAAAAAAAAAAAAAAAAAAAAAAATAAAAAAACATTTAGCTTTAATCGATCAAAATTCTAAAAGCTATTTCAAAAAATTTGTACCGAACAAAGCTTAAACAAAATTGTTCAAATATAATATCTTCAAATTTAAAAAAAAAAAAAAAAAAAAAAACCTTAATCTTATGCGACTTGGGTTTGTAATCGAGCTGTGGCAACAATCCAACCCATTAACTTCAACACAGCCAAAATCTAACAGAACGGTTTAAAAAAAAAAAAAAAAAAAAACCTTAATCTTATGGACTTGGGTTTGAATCGAGCTGTGGACAATCCAACCCATTAACTTCAACACAGCCAAAATCTAACAGAACGTTAGCTGGACCGGCAAAAGCCGACCACAATAATTTCCTATACAAAAATGTACTTATTAACAGTAAAATTAAATTCCCATTCCTTGGGACAAATAAAGCAATCTGATTATTGCGTTACAGCCTAAAAAGATGAGCATAGACAAAGTATAGAAATCTCAGGATAAGATTTTATGCAGATTAACCTGTTCCTGTTTTCATATGTTGGTAAAATTCCATCTTGTTAGGAAGAGTCTACTTAATATCACATGGACAAACCAATGGCCTTACTTGCTATTTACTTTTTCAATTTGGCATCAAATCCATGCTTTCCATCGTACCACATATTTTTTTTATTTAACATTTTATTTATATTTGTTCTCTTTTCTTTTTTCCATCATTGGATCCCTCCATCTGTTTATATGGATAGAACTAATTCAGACTCTAACCGAAGATAATTATAAGTTTTATACCTTAATTTTGTAAATATGGAGTATGTTCGGTAAAATTAATTATTTTAATAGTTGTTTTAGTAGTATATAAACTAGTAGCTTTTGAAAGCTAAATATTAGAAGATTAATTTCTCATAAAACACTATTTTAGCGTTTAAAAACTAATTTAAATATAATATTACTGAATACTATAAAAAATAGTAATTTTAAATAAGCTAAAATCTATTTGAAAAATTATTGTCAAACACAATCGAAGTTTATCCAAAAATTTAGCCACTCTAGTTGATACAATCATTTGTTGATAATTTTTATTCTCTTTTGTGATGGCAATTTGATTAAAATTGATATCTCCGTTGAAAATAACGCTTAATTTAAGATAAGTAGGAATATTATGAAGAACTTTATTATGAGCTATTAGAATATTTCATTGGCTTCCATTTAGACATTATTCTTTCATTTTCCTTTTTTTTTTTATATATATTTATATAATTATTTTGGAATAAGACTTAATTTGTCTTCGATCTACACATATACCAAAAAAATATTATTATTTTTTGTAAATCACCGCAAATCTACACTAACCAACTAAAACATCAAACTTTAACTTTTCGCAAAAAAAATAAAATTAACAATGTTTAATAAAAAAAAAAATTGGCAAAATAGAATAGTCGCCACAAAGTTGTGATACACATTTAATACAGTGCACCACGTAACTCAACAACATTCCAAAGCAAGCTGGCTGCCCAATACCGTACAATGATTATGTGATGTTCTTTTCTCCAACAAAGGTTCCACAAAATGATGAAGCTGGGACCCTCTGCTGCATATTGGGCAGTTCTTCCATAGGCAGTCTTAATATCTACTTTTCATGCTTTTCTTTTTACAAAAATAAAAGCACACAATTTTAATAATTAGCGTTGAGATTGAAAATTAATTTTTATAAAAAAACATTTATTTAAGAAAATGATTATTCTTTAGTTGTTTTGGAAAATAATTATTTTAACTTATATAGAACTAATGGTATGAGATATTAATTTTTATTATGATGTATTTATATATTAAATCTACATTATAATCGCTACGAATTAATATTCTTTCTAAACGATGAAGTGTCTTTTTTTTATATGTGTATTCCTAATTTATTTATTTTTAATTATACTACAAATGTTCTTAATTCATTAGATTAAATTCAATTCTGCTTACACCATATCAGACTCATAAGGAAAAATGCTTTTAACAGAAATTTTCATTATTTATAAAAATTAAACACTGGACCTCTTATTTAAAAAATTGAGTTCTTTCTGCTTAACCAAATTCGGTATTTGTTGACTTTTATGTAATAATATATGCATTAGCATTTTGCAAGGAACAAAGATTTTCTTTTTTACTTTAAGACGTTATTCCACATATTGAAAAATTATAGAACAGAAAAATCAAACATGAAATGGGTGGCCAGCTACATGTGTATATAGGTTCCAAGAACATACCACTTGTAATACAAAAACAAAGGTATAGTTTACTTGGTCTTTTGCTGAGATGGTGCGGCAAAGACACATATATTGATTCCTTGGGTTTGCCTACTTGCACCTTATTTTTAACTTATCATAGTTTTTAAATTATTGCTTTTTTTTATTCGAAATTTCGAAGAAAAATCTCGTCCCAGGCTAATATTTGTGAGTGATGAAGATTCACATTGTTATACTTCCTCCGGCCTATAAAGATATTTATTATTTGAATAATATTATTAAGTTTTTTTTCTTAATCTATATGAAAATAGAGATAAATGTATTTTTATGGGAGGAGTATATCAGAAATTGATAATTAGTATATTTGATATGATTTTTTTTTTTTTTTTTTTATGGGAGCGAGTATATTCAGAAATGCAATAATTAGTATATTTCGATATTGATTTTTTGATTTTTTTTTTTTTTTTGTATTGATTATATGTATATGGCTGAAATTAAATTACACTGAGTCGTCACTAAGAAAAAATATTTTTAACAAATATTTACTTTATCAACGAGTATCAAATGAAATTTAAAACTTTATGATTAGGGCTTAAACAAAATTATAACTTTAAATCACTATTTCTTCTTCCTTTTTTCCAATAATAAAATATTCTTATTCCTATCTACTCCAATTCTCTTTTTTTTTTTTTTTAAGGAATCTCAATTATGATTATTAATTTTACTAAATTTACATATATATCAGGAAAAAAAATTCATTTTTTATAAAATATCAGGAAATATTACAAAAAATATTGATAATCGAACCTATCATTTTATAATCAGACAACCTATAAATAATCACTTATGATTTTGTAAAATGGTGACTTGCAAGAAACCTCCATCTTTACAAAATATTAGTAAAATATTTATTATTTTATAAAAATTAATAATTTGTACAGAATATTATAAATTATTGTACATTTAAAATTTTATTAGGTGCCTTCATTTTACTTCAAGACAAAAGAAAATGGGTATTTATTAATTATTATCATAAGGATATATACGAAGAGATGTTTGACAGACAAACAACTGAATCATTATTCATTGTCTTCAGACCATACAAGTAGCAGTCAGCTCCTGTGTTCTATATAGCTAGTGATTGTGAAAACCATACAAAAATACCTCATAAAGTTTCTCTTAATATATTGGATTAATATTAATTTACTTCACAAATTTTTATTATTTTCATTTATGCCCTGAATTAGTTTAAAAATTAATTTTTTAAATTCAATAAAAATTCAAAGACCAAATTATCAAATTGTGAATTTATTTTAATATAATCCCTTTTTTTCAAAAAAAAAAAAAAAAAAAAAAAAAAAATAAAAAAAAAAAAAAAAAAAGAATGAAGAG